AATATTGTTTATGGACGAAGGCGTCCCTGATCTGTGCCTCGATACGAACAAGGTGGTCTGTGGTGGATCTACTTTCTCGAAACCCGCACTGAAATGGATCGAGCAAATTGTTTATTTCAAGAAAGTGTACAAGTCTGCAGTTTATCATTTTTTCAAAGATTTTGCACAAGCAGCTTGTGAGTGCAATAGGCCTATAACTGGAAGGTAAGGAAGGGTCCTTGCCCTCTTTCAAAACGGGAATTATAATAGCCTCTTTCCAGGAGTTAGGGATAGTGCCAGAAAACCAGATAGCATTGTACAAACAAAGTAAGGTTTTTCGCGTTTCGATCGGCAGGTTTTTTAACATTTCATAAACGACACGGTCAGAACCTGGGGCAGAAGTACTGCAGGAGTTTAGGGATGTTCGGAGCTCAGCTAGACTGAACGCTTGATTATATGCCTCGTATCCAGTGCATTTGTGTTCGAGTTTTTGCTTTTCTATTCTTGTTCTGTATTTTTGGAAAGTGTCAGTATAGTGGGATGAGCTGGACACCTGTTCGAAGTGTGCACCGAGGAAGTTTGCCTGATCTTCCAAGGTGTCACCCTGAGTGTTTACGAGTGGAAGTGTGTGTACTTGTTTTCCTGCTATCCTACCGACCATGTTCCACACTTTAGCTTCCTGTGTGTATGAATTGATCCCTGACAAAAACTTCTGCCAACTTTCTCTTCTTGCCTGCCGACGCGTTCGCCTGCCTTGAGACTTTATTTTCTTGAAGGTGTCAAGATTTTCGGCTGTTGGTGAGTTCCGAAGCAGCCTCCAAGCTCTGTTTTGCTGTTTGCGCGCGTTTCGGCATTCAGAGTTCCACCATGGCACACGCCGTTTTCCAGGGTGTCCATTTGTTTGTGGGATGCATTTTGTTGCAGCATCAATCAAAAATGCTGTGAAGTAGTTGACAGCAACATCAATGTTCAAAGTACTTATGTCATTCCAACCTAGACGAGCGATGGTATAAAAGTGTTCCCAGTCGGCTCTGTTTATGAGCCACTTGGGAACACGTGATGGACACTCAGTTACTGTATTTGTGCTCAAAACTATGGGGAAGTGGTCACTTCCGTACAGATTACTGATGACTTTCCACTGGAGTAGGGGCACAAGAGATGGGGATACTATGCTTAGGTCTATGGAGGAGTAGGTGTTATTGGCGAGATTATAATACGTTGAGTCTTTTCGATTTAGAAGACACGCGCTTGAGGAGAGAAGGAACTCTTCAATCAGTCGACCTCGCGCGTCATACCTAGAGTCACCCCATAGCCTGCTATGCGCATTAAAGTCTCCAAGGAGAACATAGGGCTCCGGAAGTTCATCAATTAAAGAGTGTAAATCACGTTTTTGCAGCTGATAGCTAGGAGGAATGTAGATAGTGCAGATTGTGATCAGTTTATCAAAAAGAACTGCTCGAACAGCCACTGCCTCAAGGGATGTTTGGAGTTGTAAGTGTGTGCATGCAATTCCTTGATTCACAATGATGGCAACACCTCCGGATGATGTCATAGCATCAACACGGTCCTTTCGGAATATAACGTATTTACGGAGAAAATTTGTGTGCTTTGAATTAAGGTGTGTTTCTTGTACACACAGCACTTTTGGTGAGTATTCGTGTAAGAGTTCTTGGATGTCGTCAAGGTTTCTGAAAAGGCCCCTGACGTTCCATTGTATAATTTGAGTGTTCATGGTGAATGTAAAATAGTGCTGTGTGTACGAAAAGCGAGTGGCTGTTTAGACAGAGTTTGACTTCACTTAACAGGGCCGTCACCAGGCCCTGTTATCGGCTTTTTTGTTTTCTTGGCGCGCTCCAAGGAGCCACGCCGCTCTTTCGGCACCAAGGGTGCCGACGTATCCATTGCCTCCTCGGAGGCACTGGATGCCCGCACGTGCGGGCTGTTAATTCGAATTTCGGGCCTCGCCTGGTGAGGTGAGGCCTTGAGACCGGAGGACTCTGGAGTCTCCGGTCTCTGTTTGGGAGTAGGCGGTGTAGCCTGGGCTACAGCCGCCTTGGGGGCAGGTGCCACAACCACCGGCTCGGTATGCGCGGGCCGGGGGAGTGGCGAGGGCTGGTGCGGCGGTGCCCCCTGACGCGCCGCATCAGCGTATGTAGCTCCATAGAATGGAGCGACTCTTCGCCGTGCTTCCTTAAATGTAATGTTTTCCTTCACCTTCAACGTAATTATTTCTTTTTCTTTTTTCCAGTATGTGCAGGAGCGTGAATATGCGGCATGGTTTCCTTCGCAGTTTACACAGTGTGGTGGTTGTTTGCAGTTCTCAGACACGTGGCCTAGAACTCCACATTGTGCACAAGTCTGGCGACCACGACACGTTTTGGAGCCATGGCCATATTTCTGGCATTGGAAGCAACGGCGGGGGTTGGGAATATATGGTCTCACGGATGTCTTTGTGTACCCAGTCTGAATAGTTTCCGGCAAATCGCTCGAAGCAAAGGTCAGTACTAAGTGTTTGGTTGGGATTTCCTTTTGATCTCTTCTGATCTTAATACGCTGTACGTTTGTCACGTTCTGGCTCTTCCATCCTTCCAGAAGTTCAGCTTCCGTCAGCTCAAGCAAATCTACGTCTGATACGACCCCGCGAGATGAGTTCATGGACCTGTGTGGCGTAATACTGATGGGTGTGTCTCCAAACGTTGTGAGGGTGTTCAGTTTATCGAATTGGTTTTGTTCACGTATTTCAAGGAGTAGATCTCCACTGGCCATTTTGGTAACCTTGTACCCGGCACCGAGAGTTTCGGTTAAGGACCTAGCCACTACGAAGGGGGATACTGTTCTGGCTTGCTTGTTAGTTTTTTCACAGTGTATAACATGGAATCGAGGAAAGGTTTGTCTTGGCCGCATGAAAAATTTGATATCTTCGGTGCGTACCCGCTTTGAGGAGGCACGATCACTTAGTAAAGGGAATGCTTTGTGCATGCTAATTGTATGTTGTTCAGTAGCGTTGGCGGCCACCCACCACGGAGCCCAACGAGGGGACGCTGCAGGTTTACAGATGCTGAAACCTGCAGACGCCAGCCGTACAACGCCACTATAACCCAATGCGCCTAGACCAAGGTAGGCTATTTGCACAGGGTTAACCCTAGCCGCCAGGAAGTTTGGAAGTAAACAGAAGAGAGTAGAAGACAGGACAGATAAACAGTAAGAGATAAAGACGAAGATGTAGGGAGAGAGAGATAGGAAAAGGCGACTGCCGATTTCCCCTGGGTGGGTCAGCCCAGGGGTGCCGTCTACGTGAAGCCGGGGCCAAAGGGGTGTGTTGCCTCTGCCGGGGGGCCTTAAAGGTCCAATCACCCAGCGTCAGCTCAACCCCCAGGATCCCCTTTTCCCCGGACACGGCAAAGCCACGCACGGCTAGGCGTGGGAGGGAGTCAGAACTCCCCCGTTAGCTCGGGTCCGTGGTGTCGCTACACACCAAACGCCTACTTGTGCAGGCGCCCCTGCGGGGCTCTTGTTTTCTTTCGTTATGAGAAAATAGTACACATCCTTGGCGCGCTTCATTCATAGTAGCAGCTCACTCTGGCGTAGTGTTTCAGCCAAGTATTCACGTCTTCAGTTTTACCTGAGAATATTCGTGATTCACCCACCCAGTAGTTAGGTTGTCGAGGTCGACGGCCACCTTGTGTCATGTCGTTGACACTGGTTGATGCAGCAGCGCAGCCCATAAATGGGCTTGCTGTGTCGTCGGTCATGCAGATGTTGTCTGGTGGTAGCCCAGCCAAGCGTCCGCTTTTTCGAAGGTCTTCAGCTATGTGGTCCAGGACAGCGAAAACTCAGCACCTCCACCAAAGCTTTTACGGATGTGATGGGTTTATTTGCACTGAAAAGCCAGTGCTGAACCGACACTGCTCAACAGCCATCGCTCGAGACCATCCTTTCTGTTCTTCTTTTGCGCTCTTTCAGTCTGGGCTACAGTATATTCAAATACAGTCGACTCTCGATAATTCGAAGTCGATTAATTGGAATTATCGGTTAATTGGAAGTGTAGTGGGGGTTCCGTCAGTTTTGCATGCAGTTAAACAGGAAGAAATTCTCGGTAATTGGAAGCTAGACGTCTGAAATTTTGGTTAATTCGATTTTATTTTCAATCGAATACCCGAAGGAAATCGTAATGTTTGTTAAATTTTCTATTTTTGAAGTGCTAAATAACAATGCGTGTCCGACCGGCACCCAAGGGTATCGAGTTGACCACAGCGCCGTAGCTCAAAGCGTCAGCTGATGGCATCGCAGTTGCATGCAGCACCTCAGATCACGAACCAGCTGCTCCGGCGGTTCCGGTTCCGAACCTCATTGTTAATCTCGTTACGGTCATGTGCGGACTCAGCGTTTCCACGTGCGACAAAGCTTCACGTGCATTTACTATGGCAGCTCGCGAGCTTGACGTTGATGGTCTCCTGCCAGCTCTCGGCGACGTCCCTTTCGAGGAGTACATTGCCACTGACAGTTCAGCAGAAACGTGCGGTGCACTGTCAGACGCTGAGATCGTGGAGATGGTTCAGCCCAGTGAGGCTAGTCACGAAAATGAGGTTGACAATGACGACGCCGCAAGTGAGCCACTACCGTGGGCTGCTGATGTAGCCGCAGGCCTTGCCCTCGCGCAGCGGTTTTTCACTGCTGAGAGCAACGCCAAGGAAGCACTCTGGCACATATACAGCCTGCAGGACTTGCTTTCTGCTGCAAGATTCCCCAAACAGAAGCAAACGGCAATCACAGATTTTTCTCATAAACTGCTTTGAAATAAATGTATTTTTCGTTCATTGTGGTTAATTGGAATTCCGCTTAAATCGAAGTTTTTCGCGGTCCCCGTGAACTTCGTATTAACGAGAGTCGACTGTATATGGTAAATTGATTCAGAAACACATAAGGACTGGCCAAGAATGTAGAAGAAAAAATGGGCAGTGTGCAAAAAAGAAAAATGAAAGCAGAAGCAAACGATAGTGCAAAAAGCAAATTTCCCTCACCAGTGGCTTGCCATCCTTGCCCATTTGCTCCTTTGTTCGGCGAAGCAGGACACATTTCATCACCACGGCGAGTGCCTCAGGCCCTGCAAGTCAATGGGGGGAGGACACAATACACAATTGGAATAGCCCATTACAGAAATTACATTTCTAAACCTAGCAAGCAACAAGGTGTCGAGAGGTAATAAAAACTAGGCGTGTGTTAAAAGTAGACTTCAAGTTCGAAGCGAATTAAAAAAAACAAGTGATTTGGATGATCAATTTCGAATTGAATACAAATAGTGTTCACAGTAAATTACCAATTTTTAGGACTTCCTAGGAACTGAGAAATTGTCTGCAAGATCAGGCTGTCCAAAAAAATTAATTCATGCTTTTCAACTCCGCTCAAGTGGTCAAATCACCACCCATGTTCAAGATAGCTTCAATGGCTCCCAGTACACTTATCAGACTTTTTGGTGAGCATCCAGGCTCATGTGAATACATACAGCTTGTGCCGCGAACCCCGCTTAACTATTTAGATGAGCGCCACCCATACCGACAAAGGGCAGGTTATCTCTCTCGCACGGGGCGTTTGGAAGCGACAACGCGGAACAAAAAAGTGGAGGAAAAGCGGATCGTCCAACTTTAACCGATTCGTGTGGGCATGTAAATGATGCGCTACTGCACAAAGATCTCCATTGACATGCAATATATGCTGCCATGTGCAGCCGATCGTTCCTAATTGTGTGCGGCACATTACCAACTATGCTGACTCCATCATTGCTGGGGCACGTGCAAGCTGTAGCATATGCATGTGTTTGTCGTGAAGGTGTTCACTATGCCCACTCAGCTCCTGACCACACAGAGCAGCGATGTGGCTTTCCTCCATTAAAGCAATGCCTCTGTGTGGTAGACTTATCAATCTCGCACAAAGAGGCAACACAAACGGCAATCTGGTGCATTTGGGTTGTCGCCCATGAAATGCATGCGGTATGCTTACAACTGCACGGGGCCTCATGCACTACCGAGCATTTAGCAGAAGATGCCTATCATAAAGAACTGTGAGCGATTAAGTCGTACTGGCGAGTTTGCCACCTACCACCATCCCGAGAGAACATAAGTGTGAAGTTTTATTTTAAATAACAGGGTCATCGTCAGGCCCTCTTATCAGTTTCTTGGTTTTCTTAGCGCACTCCAGTGAGCTACGGCGCACTTCCGGCACCTGAGGTACCATGTGTGTGTGTCCATTGTCCCATGTGAAGCACTGGACGCCCGCGTATGCGAGCTGCTGTTGTGTTTGCGAACTCATCTGGCGAGATGTGGTCTGGAGACCTGAAGACCCTGGGGTCGCCTGGGTCTGTGGCTTGGTAAGTGGAGCAAACTTGGCTTCCTCAACCATGGGTGCGGCCACCACAGACGATGGCTCTTTTTGTGTGGGCCTGGGTAGTGACAGACAGTGATGCGGCGCTGCTTTGATGCGCCGCATCAACGTAGGTTGTGACATGAAAAGCCGATCACCTTCGGTGTGCTTTTTCGAAGGAAATGTTTTCCCGGACATTCAGTGCGATGTCTTTTTCCTTCCTTCATATTGGAAAAGAACGTGAATTCATCACATGGTCTCCGTCAGAGTTTACACAGTGTGGGATTTTATTGCAGGTCTCCGAGGCATGGCCTTGGGCACAACACTTTGCACATGTAGGTTGGCCACGACAGCTCTGAGAACCATGACCGAACCTGTGACACTAGTAACATCCGCAAGGGTTTGGTAGATAGAGTCTGATCGGTTTCCTAGTGTAACCAGTTTCTGCTGTCTGTGGTAGTTCGCTAGTGGCAAAGGTCAATATCAAGTGACTCGTAGGGATTTCCTGATTGTTCCTTCGTATGATGATTCGCTTCACACTGGTCACATTCTGTTCTTTACAGCCCTTGAGGAGTTCAACCTCCATTAGGTCAAGAAGGTCTGTGTCAGAAAGAACTCCACATGCGGAGTTCATTTATCGATGGGGTGTTACACTGACAGGAATGTCGCCCTATGTTGGAACGATTAATGTCGCCCTACTGGAACGATTGGGTTAGTTGCCGGGCCCACAAAGTTATCTTCGATCTACGCAGAGGCCCCGTTTGCGAAAAGAGCGCGCTTTTCATGCACTGCTAGGTATAACTGGAACACTTGTTAGTTTACACACATTCGTACCTGTGAGCATGTATCAAGCATCGCTTTTTTTTCTTTAAACAGAGCGTTACGTGTTGAGCGGTAAACGTTGTTAGTTCGCTCTCGTCTTGTGTGTATTGTTTTCGTGCGTCATTTGTGCGTGAGCAGTGCGCTGCGCGTTTCGATCTGCTTGCCGTTCTCAGTGCGACATTCCAAGTTGTTGCTGTCGCATTCATTGCTTCGCCCTTGCAGCGAAACTGTGACTTTTTTTTTTTCGCATTTACTGCCTTTAGTTTACCGCTGCGTGCCCTCGGAGCTCGTAAATCGGTATCGCGCCGCCGCGACCACGTTGTGTGCGGCGGTTGCGGCAAATGGTAGTTCTTTTTTCAACCCCGTGCACTTTACTGTGGACGCGCCTTCAAAACAAAGTCGTTTTATACCGTATACGATCGTATCTGCCGCGGTTTTGTCCGCACGGTTTGCAGAAAGCAGCATTGATTTGACTGGTTGAGCGTTGCATGCACACACACTTTCAGGACTCTTGTCAGTTATACAAGATCGCGTGAAAAGCGACCACGGTTTCGTCGACAGTCGTTGTGGCAACGGCAATCACGCACACTGTAGAAGGCAGTGCATGCGCCGGTCGCACGCGTACTTCCGAAGCTTCGAGTACGCTGCTCTCGGCTTTCGTTCGTTGATTTCCATACTAAAGTTTGTATCAAGAGCCGAGATTAGGAAATGTGTTCGGAACATTCAAATTTAGGCCCGATAGACATAATGGAATTTCGCTGAAGAATTTTACAAACTCGTCTCTACCGCAGTTTCGCATAGATTTTACTGTACGTTTAGATGAACGCTTCTAAAACTCATTCATAATAAAATGGGGTAGATTCGAAAAGCTTGGAGTGGACAGAGCTGCTTTTTTGTCAAGGCGGCCGGATCACGCACAAAAATTTCCATTTCCGGGAAATTTTCATGACAACCGTACAAACGGAAGAAACGATCCAAATCTGGGAGTTTACCGGCTAATCCGGGAGACTTGGCAGGCATGTCATGACCTAACTAACCTGCATATGATTTCTTTAAAATTCAAAGAAGGCCTCTATTCAAATTCGCCCCCCCCCCCCCTTTTTTTTTTCATTCAAAGTAAGTCGAAAGAACTTTGAGTAGCAGGAGGTACTGACTTTTGGTATGATGCAAGTGATAACCTGTAAAACATATAACATTTGAAATTTTTTATACTTACACCATATAAGCCATCTAACAAGCTTTTTAGCTTAAAATATGATGAATCGATTTGAGGATAATACAGTCGAATATCGATAATTCGAACTCGAAGGGGCCCAAAAATTTGTTCGAATTAAAAGAAGTTCGAATTAATGAAAGCTAAATAAACGGAGGGCTCTCCATGCAGCGGCACATGTGCATTGAGCTAACACACGAGGGGGAAGTTTCAGAAGAAATTGAAATTGAAATTGAAATTTATTCCGCAACAACAAAATACATGTTACGAGGAGGGCAGGTAAAAGCTGTGAGAACAGCTTGAGAAGCCCTGACCCCCTAGTACACAGGGTAGCACAGAAAGACGTGCGGCTAAGGACAACCAAAATAAAAGTGTTTCACAATGTGCACTAAAAAAAGAAACAATGAAAGATCACAATGAAAGATCACCGAGGTAGTCGCTAGATCACATTATTATATAAACACTAATCGCAATTTTTTTGGTGATATGCTAGATATATCAATGTTATGTTCCCTAATTATGCGGTTTAGAAGTGCAGGCAGTTGAAACTTTAACATTTGATTACCGTATTTCGTTCTACATTTTGATATGTGCCACACTTCAGGTTGACGTACATTATAAGCAGGAAAATTTTTCTCTAACCTGGCTATTCTAGCAATCGTATCATTATTTTTCAATAAACCGAACTTATATAAACGGCTTAGTTTATAATCATATATTGATGCAACCTGAATGATGTAGTGTTTTTTAAACAATTCTGCTGTGTGGCTGCGATGTGGTAATTTAGAGGCAAGACGCAAAGCTTTCTTTTGCAAGATGGTAAGTTTGCAAACGTTTACAGTTGTCGTTGTGGACCATACAAGAAAGGCATAATTCAATAATGAAGAAAACAACGAGTTATATATGAGCATGTTTACAGAAACAGGAAAATAGTAGCAATGACGGCGCATGACGCCGATTATACGAGATAGTTTAGTAATAATATGGTTCACGTGATCATCCCATGTCATGTTTTGTGAAAAATACACGCCTAATGATTTAAAACTTTTGACGACTTCAATTTCTAAATTATTTAACGAAATGATGGGAAACTGAACTTGTGTGTGGCGGGGGTGAAATAAAACAGCTTTTGTTTTTTTTATGTTTAGTTTTAGAGAGTTTTCTTGGGCCCATGTGTTAATTTTAGACAGTGCGTTATTCGCTCGGCTACCTAGATCGCTGCTACATCTGCTTGAAAAAAACAAACTTGTGTCGTCAGCATATATAATGTAATGGGCAGATTCATCAATACGAACTATCTCATTAACGTAAAGTATGAAGAGAAACGGTCCCAAAATGCTTCCCTGCGGGACGCCTGTTTTAATGGATTTTGTTGCGGAATGTTTGCCTTGAATTACGACGAATTGAGTTCGGTGTTGCAAGTATGAAGTGATTAATTTGTGTGCAACGCCTCTTATACCGTAATGGTCCAACTTTTGTAGGAGAATTTTATGATTAATGAGGTCAAAGGCTTTTGAGAAATCAAGAAAAAGACCGAGTACCATATTTCGGGATTCAAAATTCTCTAGAATGTATTCTTTTTGTGCCAGTAGCGCGAGCTCAGTAGATTTATTTTTCCGGAAGCCATACTGCGCTGAAGTAATCAAGTTGAACTTGTCAGTAAAAGAGTTCAAACGTTTCAAAATTATTTTTTCCAGACCCTTAGAGAATAC